ACGACGAGCTCCTGCGGGAGACGGCTTTCACGGAACCTGCTGTGACCTCTATTACAGGCTTTGGTGGCTTGACGAACAGACCCGTCGATACTTCACGATGCTCCTGTGGTTTAGCCGAGACAGTAGGTATCGAGGCAATGGTCGCAGGGTCTAGAGATTCTCGGTTTGGTGTTGTCCGTCGTGAAAGACTCCTGTCGACATCTGGTGTTCCTAGTTCAGGCGATGCTGTACGAGCTGCGTCTTCACGCCATCTTTCGATCGACTCCATGCAATTCCCAACAGCCTCTTCCTCGCCTCGGGCTACATGTTGAAACTGCCCTTGTTGCACAGCAGTCAACTCGCTCATGGCCAATAATAGGTTTGCTGTCTTGGTTGGCAGGACCGGCGCCGTGGGGAAAAGATGCCCTCGTTCATGTATCGAGGGCTCGCCCACAATCGATCTCGTCGGTGTCCCTCCTCGTCCTGGCACCTTTTCCAGCATCCAAGGTCTAATGATCCTTTGATGGTGGCTGGGGTCTTCGATCCCGTGGAAAAATTCAACAAACCCCTCGGCTAGCGTACCTGCGGTCCTTGTATACGGCTGATAGCTGTGGAAATGGTGAAAGACTGCATCGTCGAGATGCGACTGATGAATCGCCTTGGGCCACGGCATGCGCACCCAGATCTCCTTGACAAAACAGAATGAGTTGAGAAAATCATCCACGCTCCCGGCATAGTCGGGGTACGCCGTGCGATATCTGACGAAAAGACTATCAGCCCCAGTTGACTTGTTCTCCTCGTCAACTCCACTATACGCAGATTGACGGGTGATGGGAGTCGACGTCCGCCGCAATGCGAGGGTCGTAGAGTCTAGCTGTTGATCCTGCAGTCTGTGCCCCGGTGCTGGTCCCACAAGGCTCGCGGGGCTGTCTGTATCAATTCGTGACGACCGAGGAGATCGGCTTGTCAACAACTGAGGCTCGCCAGTCGATCGCAAGGTTACTAGACGGTGTTGCTTCGCTTGCTCAGACGCCAAAGTCTCACTATCGCAGCCCGCAGTCATCCTCGGCTCTGAAGCAGGACGTCGCAGAGAGTTCTCGAGCCTGTCAATCTGACCTCGTCGCTGTCTATGATCTTCTGATGCCTTCTCAACGATCTCTCCATTTTTGAGATCGCTGTCCGCGGCTTCTTGCTCTTGCCGTAGCTTTTTGACGGGAGCATTGCGGCCTTTCGAGTCTGTGCGCTTTCGTTTTGCCGATACAGGAGAAATTGACTCACGGCTTGCAGACACAGCCGGTGATGGAGGGTTTCCGTCGTTGTCAGAACTGATTGAAGGCTGGAAACCATTCTCTGCCGCACGGTCTTGTCCTCCTACAGATACGAGACGACTGTGGACCACTCTCTGAGAGCTAGTGCTCGCAGAAAGAGCATCTTCTGCACTGACGTTGCGGGCAGGGATTGGGGTCTTGCGCGAATGAGTGTGGTCGATCCCCGTCGCTTGAAACACCTGTGGTGCACAGTATGCTGCAATGAGGCTATTCTGGGCCGATCCCGCGGTCGGATTTGAGCCCTCATCCGCGGGCAGAGCCTCGATACCTGGTTTCATCACTGCCACTGCAGCAATCTCCCCTAAGCTTGGCTCATCGTAGGTTCCAGGGACAAAGGTTGAAGCTGGATATCCATCATTGATCTTTGTCTTTTGAATAGTCAGATCGTCTTGAGCACCCACGAGACGGGGGAAATAAGGTCCTTTCCCGCCGTAGGGCGTCCGCGCAACCTGAATCCCGTCAGACTTTGAGCTGCCTCGTATCCCAACAACCTTGGGAGGAATCCCTTCTTGGGACGAGCTCTTATCACTCGGGTCAGCTTGCGGTAACTGCGCTGATTGTGGAACCTCCGCAGCCGATGGTCTTGAACTGACACTCTGATGCGAATTCGCTTCCAAAGAACCGGGACTATGTTCATAGGACAATGATTGAGCCTCGCGCCCTTGCTCCCGGTCGGCAGGGTTGTTGGACAACGGCTCTTGACCACTGGACAATGGGCTCCCCTCGATTGGATTGCCAGCAAGATGGGGACGCTGTTTCTGTCGCGTGAGATCCAGTGGCGGACTATTCGGCGGTAATCTAGTGCCTCGCCGCAGTTGAGTTGGTGGGCTCTGAGACCAATCGGCAAACTCCTCAGAGTCGCTCACATTTCCTTCACTGGGGGTTCCTGATTTCAAGTCCTCGTCTCGTGAGTCTTGCGCTGCCGAAACACCTTGCGTTGAGATATCAGGTGCTGCAATCTCCAGAGATGAGCCGAGATCACTCGCTCGATTGTCAGCAGCGTCCGAGAGTTGTACCAGGAGGTCTAGAGGCACTCCTCCTGGCCTCTGGGGTCGACCAACGAGTGGCGGTTGCCAACAGTCCCCAGACTCCAAAAGGGACGCCAATAGCTGTGCCTGCTGACGCGGGATCTGTTGAATGCGCCTGGGAACATATCTGCCTGCTTGTGCCTCTTTTTGCCACCGATTAAAGTGGCCCAGAGGCTGTTCAGTCGATGAGACAACATTTGGCCTTACCGGACTCGATTTTGTGGATAGCTTGGGTATCTCTTCATGGTTTTGATCTGCCGACTGTCTTGAAGATCCTAGAATGTTGCCTCCTAGCTCAGACATCTCCACAGGACTGCTCTTGTCATAGTTTGTTGTGAGAACCGGAATAACTTGAAGTCCTGGCGAATTAGGATTTGTTGACCGGGAGAGAGCTCTGGTTGCGAGTTCTGTTCCTGGGTCATCTGTCGTTGGTAGAGCCAATGGAGACTCATGAGGGGGTGTAATGCTTTTACCCATAGCGAAGGTGCGATCCCCCCCTGGCGCAGACCGTTGTGCCTGTTTCGAAGGGCTACCGTATAAAGAGCCGATTGAGCCTTGTCTACTCAGGGGTGGTGGCACTGATTGCTTCTCATCGCACCTGGTGGCTGGCCCATTTTCGTTGCTAGAGGTCGACTCTATCTGTGTGGTTCTGTCCCAGTAAGTGAAAGCGTTGGGAACCTGTGTACAGAATGACTGATGAGCGACATCTTCCTCAGGATCACCGCCAGGCTTTCTATCCACATGGTGTACCTGGGTATTGAAATCAATCTGTGATTTGAAGGAGTCGGGACTGCCGCGTGAGGCGGGAGTCAACGGAGCACGATTCTGCTCTTTCACGGCCCAATACCTGGATATCCTTTCGCGTACATCTTTGTCTTCAGTGACAGCGCAGCCAGAAGAATGGTCTTGTTCCCGCTGGTCCTTCTCATTCACAATCCTGTAGGCCGCAATCTCGAGCAAGGGTTTCGGTGGGTTGACATGAGGAGTAACGCGAAGGACAGGATTGGTAAGGTGTAAGAGTGTCCCTTGCTGAGCATCGGACTGTTTTATTTCGACTGCGGTGCCCTTGGTGAAGATGGCTTCAATCTTGTGGATTCCGTCAGAGATCTCCCCACAGGGTTCTATCGTACCTAGTTTCGGCAGCTGATACAGAGTCAGCGCATTTAGCCTAGACAATTACCCAAACTCGTCCTTACCTTCAGGAGGTACACAGTTCTGGAACATGTCGCCCTATAGCTTGCTTTTAGTTTATCGTCAATCTTGTGAAACTGATAGTCGGTAGTGCGGCATCCTTCAAGTTCACCAAACCACGCATCGAGACTGGACTTGATGAAGTCGGCCAGCCATGGCTCGTGGGGTTCCATAGGCCCCGGGAGATTGATACATCCGAATATACACGATCGATATTGAAGGGTCGCATTATTCGACGCAACGACATTCCTGGATTCAAGTGTCTGCGGTGCCGCATTGGGGTGGTGCCTGTTTGCTGTTCAAGGGCAGGTCTGACGCGTTTCGACGCGACTTTAGATGCCAAGGCGAGTAATTGACAACTGCTCGCCCCTCACCCCGCGCGCGGCCTAGGGCGACGCCACCCAGTGCTCAACACAGTCAAGCTCAGTCCTTGTTTGATCGCTCTTCATAGTAGTTTGTATCAAAGATGGTGCTTGCAAAAGAGCCTCGTCAAACACGTCCTGACCTGACGGCGTGGCAAATACTTTGCGAATATCCTGGACGATTCACCCTGCTGCCTGCAATTGGATGAATTCCTGCGACCAATAATGATCCCTGTGTTGACTTTTGACTGACAGTCGCGGTGTAGTATTCAGGTTCGGAAGTAAGAAGCCCTGCTGCAATGCCTGCTGCCTAGTCGACTCTCTCTTGCGCTTCTGGTACTTGATCACAAAATATTCCACCTTCCTTCTCTTAGACATCAGGACCACGTCTGCCTCTCCCCGAACAGCGATTTTCTATCGTCCAGATCAAAGCACCGAGCTATTCCAGTCCCGAAGCAATTCTAGCAATGTCTGCTCCGACTACGGACGACGGCAACGCCCAAGCTGCAACCGGCTATACTGGTCCGTCCGCGCACATCATGATCAAGGAACACATCCTCACCGATGAGATAATCAAGCGCCACAACGACCCTGAATCCATCCTGGGAGGCCCAGAGTTGATCCTCCTCAATGAATACGTCCAGGCTCCAGATCAGAGGCTCGAGATACTACGGGAGCACGATATGCTTGATGCGGAAGGCGCTAGAACGGGCTCACGCGCTCAAGAGGCCCACCATAGTATTGTTGGCTGGGCAATGGCAAACGATTACTTCCACGAGGAAGATATTGCGAAGCTCAAAGGATGGTTTGATGCAGGGAATGCTGACGAAAGTATGATGGAGCATGGCTGGAGAAGGCAGTGAGAAACAGGTGCGAAGGGGTGCAGTCGTGAGCTGACGGGGGCTTCAAAGTGATTTCCAAGTGAGCGGCGAGCAGATCTTATTCTGCTTGTGCCGACAAGCCATCTTCTTCTGTCGACTGACTATCTACTGCCCCGCGAATGCATTCGCTTTCGTCCTCTTCCGCTTCTCTTCCTCCTCCTACTTCTCTGATACAACGACCTCTTCTCGGATAGATGGAGCGCTCGCTACCATTTGTCTCCACATTGGGAATCACGAGAAATTGATGCCTGAGGGTTGAAGACGTGTCAGGAAAGAAAGGAAGGCCGCAGAACAAGTCGTCCAAGCCCCGCTCCAATTGATCTAGGTGGACTTACCTCCATCACACAAGACGGTCTGACCCGTGATGTTCCTCGCTTTGGGACTTGCTAGAAAACTGACCAGATTGGCGATATCTTCAGGGGTCTGTTTTCACCGATTAGCCACCAGGCAATCAGTTCCAGAGAGGATCCGAGACATGGACGGACCTGCGAACGCTTGAGCACTGCTCGTGCCTCGACAGATTTCTGGAACGCAACTTCTGGATCAATGCCATGTCGCTGGGAGAGGCTGGCGCCAATCGCCTTCCACATCTGATGTGTTTCAAAGAGTAAGCAAGATTCCTCTCACTGGCCCATGCCAAACGACGTGCAGTCACTCACTGGTGTGTCGACGGGGCCGGGCGCGTAGGCTTTAGTGGTTGCAACAGTGAGTATCAACTATTTGACCGGAGGCGAAGTCCAGACTAACCATTCACCTAAGATGGGTCAGTCGCGGTCATGAACGAGGGGACATGATTTGCCATTACGTTGATATCGTAAGGTGCAAACTCTCCCGCCGCAAGCTGGGTCAGTCCCCGAACGGCCCATTTGCTGGTCGAGTATGCTCCGGCATTGCCGGTCTGTCACCACGGTCAGAGTTAGGTCCGAGACTTTGTATAAGCAGAGCCATGTAGTCGAGAGAACGCATACCGCCTTGAAGCCAGCAGTGGAACAAGCCCCGAGGATTTTTCCTCCTTTGCCTTGCTTGATCATCTGCTTAGCTGCGGGGATCTCAAGGTCAGTTCTTTCGACACGTTTTCAGCCGCAAGATCCGTGGGTTGACGAATGCTCACCCGCCTCTCTATAACAAAGCAACACGCCGCGGACATTGACCTGGAGAGACACCGGTAAGGAGGGATTCACGATCAAGAGGATGGTATCAAGGAAGCATGCTTCTCACAGCCAAGACTCTGTCCCACTCTTCCACGCTAACTTCCAATAATGGCTTGGGGACGATGATTCCTGCATTGGCGACCATAACCTGGGGATGGGATGTAAGTGCGCCAGCTCCCATAGCAGCACCAGTGAACAGAAGGGGCTCGCACGTTCAGTTCCCCCATCTCGCTGGCTGTCTTTTGCACCATCTCATGGACCTCGCGTTCGTTGCTGACATCGGCAAAAAGACAGATCGATCTTCTGCCTGCGCCGGATTTCCGTGAGCATTTGGAAGTAGGCAATGCAAGACAATTTTGACGTTCCCAGGAGTGGCATCTCCACCGCTGAGGTTCTTCCCACCTTTTGCTTCCACTTCCGCCTTGACGGCCTCCAACTCTTGAGCCTGTGCTTGGATGTCATTGACCTAAAAGATTGTAAGCTGGACAGTCACGATCGCAACTCCTCTTCCCGCGAAGAAGACGAGTTTCTTTGCACTCACTGCAACATCCATCCCGTCATCGGCAAGCTGCAGGGCAATCGCCCGCCCGATGCCTCTTGAGGCGCCTGTCACAATTGCCACAACCATTGCTTGTATCACTTTTTTTTTTTTCGAAAAAGAGCAGTTTTCTTCTTGGACGGTCTGGTTCTCAAATTTCCAGGATCCGATGATTGTTGCCCATCTATCGAGGCCACTTTTTGTATGTCGATATTCTCCATCTGGGCCCCCAGGGCATGGACTCCGAGGCTCAATCTGCGCGTTCCATCACTCCACCACCCCACCGCCTTTTGCCGAGTGGTGCTCGGTAGCCGGCAAAACGTCGATTGAGCACGACCCCAGTGGAACCGCCCGTGTACATTGGGGCTCCACCCCTTGCCGATGCGAATTTGGGCGTCGAAGACTGTGGGTTGGGGAGTTGACGTTTTGACGCCACGCCTCCCTTCACTCCTCCGTCTAATAACTTGCTATATAACGTACTACACAGCGTCGTTCACGGAAAACCGGTTAGTGTACGGAGCCAACAGGGTCTGAATTTCTCTCTATTCCTAGTTTTATCCGACGGTTTCCGGGCCGCCAGAGAGCTTATTACCGGCGACGGTAAGCTCTCGTATAGTACGAAAGGTAGACGGGTATCCTTAAACGTCTAAATTAATGATCTGTTTATTTAGTATTCCCTCTTAGTCGTTTAATCTAAGCTGTTGTGATTCGTGCCTAATTGTCTTTCAAAGTCTACATTTAACGCGGCGAGCGAGGGGAGCGTGACTGACGTTATATACGGCGGCGGCAGCGCGAATAGAAGGATATCGCTGTTATACGATATCGTCGACGGCTTGTTGGATAATGAGCTCTCTATTAAATGCTATTTGAATAGCATTCAAGCTGTTTTGGTTGAGTTGTACGTTGGTAAAGATGGAGGGATCAGCGAATGCAAACCACCCCAGTGAAGAGGACGGACAGAGTAATATCAATTCAAATGCTATCTCCAACAAAACATCAATTCATTGACTCGAGCCCGCACGTCCACTAACATTTCCCAAGTTTCTTGATCTGAAGCTGATTGTTGCTTCCCCGACAAGTAGCACCGCCGAGGTACGGTCCGATGCTGGAGTCGGCGTCGGCGTCGGCGTCAGGGTGGCGGATCAGGGCAGCTCTCCCGAGTCCTTCAATGCCGTAACCACTTCACTCGCCGCCTTCAAGGCATCTCTACCTGCGGGAACACCACAATAGACCATCGTGTGCCGGCAGGCCTCACAGAGCTCCTCTTCGCTGATGCCATTGTGCAGTGCTGCTCGGAGATGGATCTTCAACTCTGGCGCGCGATTCAAAGCGACGAGCATAGCGATGTTCATCAGGGACCGCTCTCGGAATTTGAGGCCTGGCCTGGCATAGCTGGAGAAACAGACTTCGGAGATGAACTCGGACGCCGTCTTGGTGAATATATCATCCTTCTACAGCAATGCGAGTGGTTAACCCGGAGAACTGGTTCGCATGACACTCACCGACACACGAAAGGGGAGTAAGGCTGGCCACTCACTGCATCGCGTCGCAGTTCTTCGAGATGCTTGCTACCAAAGAATTCGTTCCTCATTTTGGCACCCACGGCCAGTTTTGTATCAGGTTCGGAAGCCATGATTTGGAATAAAGGGGCCGAGAGGAAGAGGCAGAAAGGAAAAGGGCTTCGTGGGCTGTGCACTTTGCCTTTACGGTATTTTTCGAGCACCAGCAAAAGAAGAGTTGACAATAAATTTAAAGAAAGGTCAGTGGCTCAGGCGGAATGGGAGGAGCATGGACGCTTTATATATTGTCATGTTGGGCGACCAAAGTCAGCCCGCACACCGGCGACTTTCGGCACTCCGGCAGAAGGGCCTGGGATCCGATTCTTGGTTCGTAACTACCGGATTGCATGCATGTTTACCAGGAATCATGGATTGTTGGTTTGGGTGATGCCGTGGTTCGGCATTGATCCGTTCTATCTACTAGGAGCCAACGTAACAAGATCTCGCACCATCCATATCCAAGGCATCTATTAAGATCTAATAGCTACATTCAGGAACTCCACCCCCAAGGGATCCCTTTAGGCTTCACTCAGGGAGAGAAGAAGACATCGGAGAAGTCATTGGGCCGATCCAGATACCATGTCGGGTTACTGCACTTCTCTCTCACGGAGAATCCGTTGCCCAGAAACGCGAAACGGTTACTGGAGAAATAAACATATTCGTAGTCCTCAGGCCGGAAGATCTCCATCATGTGAAACCAGTGAATCCTGCTTCCCGGGTGAAGCGCTGTGATGGGCCCTTCCGCTGTCCCGTTTTTGTACCACGACCGACACGGGCCTGCCCAGACCGTCCTGGGAAGAAACACTCGACAGTGTTGAGTAAAGTCCCGGACCGCGTCCGTCCGGACGCAAACGGACTTGATTCCCTCAATTTGCACCTTCTTCATCATCCGGACAACGTAACGAGAAACTTGCTCGGCGATGGTGAGGACGCTGCCATGCCCGATTGGAGCGTTCGGTCCCATGAATACTGTGTTGGTCGGTGCCCAGTCAGTCGGTCTGACAAGCGCGGAGGGTCTCGCATACAAGAAAAATATAATATATATGGGACAGCAGTCTCACAAAGGGACCACTGAGAGGGACGACGTACCAAAATAATTAGGCATCTCAGCCACAGCGCATGACATGTATGCTCCGGGGAGGCTTTTTGTCCACATGTCCTGAAGGTTCAGACCGTTCCTGCCGATGATTGGGAAACGTGGGCAGAACGAGACATCGAAGCCGGTGGCACAGACGATGGCATCGAGCTCAATCACTTCGCCGGACTGAAGCTCGATCCCGTTCGGAAGAACACGAGCGATTTGCTGCGTGACGACCCGGACATTATCCTCCGTCAGGGCCTCGAGATAGCCGGGCCCAGGGGTCAGCCTGCGACAGCCGGCGGGGAACGTGGTGGGAATGATGGCCTTGATCAGTTCCGGATCATTTCTGAGCGTTTTCGTCATGTGTGCAATTAGGTTCTTTTGCAAGACATCGGCTAGGCCGTCATTGTTCACCATCTAAGAGGGCTCTTGGTCAGCTACGACTTGCAAACACCGGCCATTACCCCCCCTGGGCCCCCGCAAAGGTATAATTCGCGTACGCACCGTGGCAAACCGTGCATTGACTTGCTCTTCCGTGGCTTTGATGAATGCTCTGTAATATTCCGCATCGTTTTCGAATCTGGCGATTTGCTCGGGACGGAACTTGTCCCCATCCATCAGAGCGGACTGAAGGATCTCGGCACTGGCGCCTTTCAGCATTCTCTCAGTCTGCGGTGGAGCGATCCAGGTGGGAGAACGAATAAAGTGCACAAGCTCTTTGACGTCTGCATTGGGGGACGGTGTCAGTTGACTGGCCAGCAACCTTGCAAGGTGGCTTTTTGAGACACTCACGCGGTTGAATCGACGGAACAATTTGCACTCCCGAAGAGCCATTTCCAATGACGGCAACCTTTTTGTTGCGATAGTCGAAAGATTCGGGCCACGCTGCGCTGTGAACCAGGTCGCCTTGGAAGTCAAATAGGCCGGGAAGATTGGGCCATTTCCAGTTGCTGCGCGTCTGTCAGTCGCCAATGCCCTGCGCGGAAGGGGGAAAGGGGGGGGGGGGTTCCAACTTGAGGATCCCGGTTGCGTTGAGGAGGAAATGGCATCGATCATCGACAATCTCACGGGAGACGAGGTTTTCAATCTTCAACTCCCATTCTCCAAGGTCTTCGCACCACTTTGCGTTGATGATCTTGTGCGACAATTTGATCTCCGGGCGCATATCTTCGTCGTCACAGCAGCGGATGGCGTAATCCTTGATTTCCTCGGCGTTGGCCGAGAACTGGGTCCAACGAGGGTTGGGTTTCCAGGTAAATTGGTAGTTGTGCGAAGGGTGATCACACTGACAACCTAAGAGACAAAATCCGACCAGATTAGCCCGTTGCTGTATGGGACCGGTATCAATGGAGGGGTCTCCAAGTGACCTTGCTCGCTGGCAGAGGGAAAGAAAATATGCCTACCTGGATAACGGTTCTCATACCAAGTTCCTCCAACCTCGGGGTTCTTCTCATACACCACATGTTCGTAGTCCGTCATTGTTTTCCGCAGAGTCCGGATCATGTTGATCCCACTGATGCCCGCACCGATGGTGATGATCCTCAGTCTCCGGGTAGTTCCCAGGGGCTGTTCAAGGATGTGGTATTCTTTACCATGGTCAGTCCCATTGAGGGTGGGTGTTTCTGCAAGAGCGGACGGTGCCATGTTGTCACGAGTGCGATGTATCATCGAATGGTAGCCAGCTGTGATTTCCTCGGGGAGAGAAAATGCGGAAAGATTATATCTACTTTGGGAGAATAAGTCATGGCTTTCACCATGGTAGTGAGATATCCTGATGTCCATCCACCTGCCCTGGCACCCGCCGTCTCCTCACCTCACCTGACGAGGCGTCGGCAAAGCCAGTCTTCGGCAAATTTGGCTCGGCAAGCAGCTGAGTTACCGAAGACCAAGGAAGCCCTACCGTGAGGAACGAACCCAGCCCGGTACAGGTGATTTGCCACGCTTGGTCACTCCAGCCGTGATTCCGTCAAACCGAGGTTGAGCTTGCACAGCCCAAAGATCGCCTGAATAAAATCTGTGTGAGGCACTCTGCAGGCGCTGTCTCTATTGGACAGCACATGGTTTGAGTAGTGCGACCCGGCATCCAATGATGGGAAACGAAACTTGGGTCTGCTGGTTGCCAATGGTGTATTGACTACATCTGAGAACTGTATGGCTCGACAGGTCTCTCGAAATCTGTCCAGAGCGGGTCCAGCTGGACGTCGCAAAGATCGAAATTGAACATCATATCCGACTCGGCCTCCAAGAGTTGCATTGGAGGGGTTGCGACGGGATTGTGCGGCTGGGCAGAGTTCACGCACAGAAGATCCATGCTGGGACACAACGACGCGGGAAATGGAAATAACCTGAGCTTGTCGACACGGTGGCAGAGACCAGCGCAAAACATATTGTCTCCGAAAGCTGGACGGCCCGCGGATGCATCTGCTGGGAGGTGCGACTGCACAACGCCACCGTTGCCACCATCTCCCAGTACTGATCGCTGCACACGATCAACATTGGCGAGGATCAGGGCGCTGCTCGGATTGTTCGCCCTCATGTCCTGGAGAGCGAGCCGAACTTTGGCAAGGTCCTCCCTGTGCCTTGCGTTGGTGTCAGGGAACTTGACGAGGGCGTGAACCAGAGGGACGCTCGCCACCATGCAGTACCAGTTGTTGATTGGCAGAAGCGAAATTATATCCCCTCGATAGTAAATCTCCTCAAACAATGTAGCGATGGCTGAAGCTGCAACAACCGAGACCCTAAGGGATTCCAGACAGTTCTCTACCAGACGGTAGAAGAGGATGACCCCGGTGAAGTACATAATGTGGAGCTGATAGACAAACGGCCGATAAGCTCTCTGCTCCATTGGGTCGTAGAGGCGGAGATCTGGGCGAAGACTCTCAATCCAGTCTCTGAGGGATTCTCCGATATGGATAATCTGTTCCATAACCGGCCTCTGCTGTCGTCCATACTGTGCTTCTGAAACACTTCCCAGGATCTTGCAGAGTTTGGTCCTCTGAAGAAATAGTTCGTTATCTGGGTCAGCTTCCGCAAAGTCGTGGAGCGTTGGCAAGTTGACATCGACCTCTTGCATTCGAAGCGAAGACGGCCTTCCGTAACACAACGACTGTAGCGTGTCTTGATTCTGTCCCAAATGTCAGTGTTGAGCCTTTCGGTGAAGACGTGGGTGATCAAGCCTACAGCCAGATGCCACCAGATCCGTCGACACATGCCGGGTTCCGGTAAGCTTTTGTACGTGGCTTCTCTGTGCAAGCCCATGTTCAACGCATACCGTATTGCAACGCCCCCCCAGTGCCAGGGTGAATTCAGGCTCAATTTGGTTGGCGTCTCCGGGCTTCTGGAGGCCAGGAGGCAGACTGACTTTAACACGGTCAAATATCGATCTGCCTCATAGTCCATCGCAAGTAGGGTTTTGACCTTCCAGTAAAACTGATCCGCTAGGGGGGCGGATTTGGGTGCACGTCGGAAATGACTTCCAACCAGGCACAGGCACTGCTGGAGTAGAACTGACTGAGGTTCACTTGTGAGATCACGGCGATCCACTAACGGCAGGAAGGGGAACAGATGCGAAAAGTAAACTTCCGAAAGGGCATTCATAAGCGGAATCGGCGGGAGCACTGTAGCTTGAGTAACTCGCAACACCGTTTCAGAGATCACGGCGGCCTCGGCGGGCCAAGAGTCTGGAGGTTCAGACACGCAAGTATTTGATAACAGTGAATGCTCCCCAAGATAACCCAACGGCCGGGTTCCGGTCACGGGTCGGGATCTATCTTCTGCATCTGCTGTGTCTGCTGTGTCTTGTACGCCGTGATCATGGAGTCGCTCAGCGTCTCCTCTCGACAGGCTGTAGTTCTCCGTGTGGTGGTGGGAAAGGGCAGGGCTCGTGAATGGGGTCGCCACAGGCGCCACCTGTGTTGAGAGTTTTCGTGATCGTTCGCGCCGTCTTTAGACTCAGGACGTTAGCCAGGGAACACGGCAAAGACGGAGATGCGCACTTGCACAGCAGATTCCCCTTTCGGCAGTTGCTGCACTGACTGTCTGAACAAAGTTGAAGATCACATTTTACCTGCCAGAGAAGGCGGGTTAGCACCAATATTCCCACCAAACCAAACAGAGCGCCGCCCCAGGATTACCTTCCGTGCATGGCACTGGACGCAAACGACGCCTGCACGCCGACGAGTCATTCGGACAGTGCCTTCTGGAGTCATCGTTGGTGTGGAAGGAGGAGACATCCGGCAAGGGAAGCAAGGAAGCCAGGAAGCGAGGAAGCGAGATTTTCGAAGCGTCGGTTCTCTTGAGTGCGGCTGCGGCAGGCAGCTCGGTTATATACAAAGTGTGGAGGACACAAGGGTGGGGTCCTCGGCTGGGGAGCCTTGCCAAGGTGCGGGAACTGACCCTGGCTCTCTGGAGTATTTGCCTATTTCGGCGAATTTATGGGGGTGTTGAGGGGTCGAGAGAGGCACCCGGTTGGCCCCCGTGATCCAGAGATCCGGAACACGAGGCCAAGGTGTTGTGTGCACCGGCAGTCGGCAAACCCGCTATAGTATTTCGCTATTTGAGACCAAGCGCAGTCCCTGGGCTCTGGACTCTCGAATCTAGAGTGATGTTCGCACAAGACAGACAACTTGACCACCCTTCTTGATTCCTTAGCCTCCCGACATCATCAAGGGGGCCCCGATTCGTTCCAACACCATGTCGCACCCCAACCCGTACTTTCCAGTGCCTGCCAGCACAAACACCGTGCAGGTCCGCATTGTTGACTCGACGACCAGGATCCGTAATTTGCCCATCGAGTTTCTGATGAAGCCGCCCATGGATGGCATGCAATACATGCCCACGTTGCCTTCGTGGTCCTTTCTGATCGAGCACTCCTCCGGGAAGAAGTTGCTGTTTGATCTCGGGGTTCCAAAGGATTGGCGCGTTCTTTCTCCCAAGGTCGTAGAGCCTCTGGCTGCTCGCGGGTGGGACATCCAAGTCGATAAGGAAGTCATCGATGTTCTCGAAGAAGGCCAAGTGGCCTCAAGCCAGATAAATGGCATCATTTGGAGGTGAGCCTCAAACACAGCTTCGCTCCCCGCACCCCGGGTGTCAGGGTAGAATGTAAAGTGACACAGACTCTTAGTCACTGGCACTGGGATCACCTGGGAGACCCCTCGAGGTTTCCACCATCCACTGACTTGATCGTCGGCCCTGGGTTCAAGGAGGCATTCCTGCCAGGTTTTCCCGCAAAGGCGGACTCCCCAGTCAGAGAAAGCGACTTCCGGTGAGTGAACGCCTCTGGCCCGAACCGGAATTAGACTACTAACATCGCGGTGGTGTCAAAGCGGCCGCAACGTGGTTGAGATAGCTTTCGACAAGTCGCCTGCCGTTACCCAGGTAGGACCTTTCCAAGCATTCGACTATTTTGGAGACGGATCCTTCTTTCTGGTCGATACTCCTGGACATGCGGTAGGGCATTTGAGTGGGCTCGCGAGAACAACGGCCAACCCGGACACATTTATCTTTATGGGCGGGGATCTTTGCCATCACAGCGGTGAGATGAGGCCTTCGAAATACTTGCACATCCCGTCCGAGATTGCACTCCCGTCGTTCCCGCGCGGCATTTGTCCCGGTGCGGCGTTCGAAAAGTTGCTGGTTGAACGAACCGGGTCGCGAGAGAAGCCCTTCTTCGAGCCTGGATTTGGTTTAGACCTCGAAGAGGCCACAAGAACCATCGTCAAGGCTCAGGACGCGGACGCAAGCGAGAATATCTGGTTCATTTATGCGCATGACCCTAGCCTGATTGGTACCGTGGATCTTTTCCCCTTGTCTGCAAACCAGTGGAAGGAACACGGCTGGCGACGGAAGACCTTGTGGTGCTTCCTCGAAGATTTTCGAGATGCTGCCGATGTATTTCGTCGAGCGTAGAGATTGCATCTCGAGGGACCTCCCGTGTAGGTAGAAGAAACATCTCTTGAGCGACCTTGTGTCATGGGGGTGTTCTATTTCCCTCCTTCTTTGTGCACGTGCTCTAAACAAGAGTCTTTCATCGCTTCCGTGCTTCTGCGACGCCCATAAGCTTTCGCGCCAGCAAGGTTCCAGAGCACGCCAGGTCGCTTCGATAACGGAGGCCTGAGGCTGAGATGGAAATGTAGTTGTCATCAATCTCGCTCGATGCGGATACGAGTATGGGTTGTCTAATGTCGGCAGGCTTGGACGCACTTCTTCCGGCCCTCAGATAGGTGTGGAGACTATATAGCCATCATAAAGCCGGTCCTCGTACTCTGAACTCGGTAGAAACGGCCCCTGGCCCTTGGGAAGAGCCGAGCAACAGCCGGTCTGCAGCATTTTCCATGCGGCGACCACGCCAAGCGCCGCCGGTCGACTCCTCCACGTTTCCCCAGATATACTGCGGGACGGCAATTTCTTTACTGGGCTCGGTTGGTGAAACTGATATACGGCGTTGTGTCGAGGTATATACTAAGGCACGACCTCCCCGCAAGATCCCCGTCCATTCCCACAAAATCGACGCGCCTTCAGTTGCTTTGGCCATTGCGTCTTTCCTCCAACACCCGCCAGATCAATCTCGTATCTCTCTCTTCTCGACGAGACTTAAAACCAAGCATGGGGTCTACAGAGCCACAGAAGTCTAAGGACGTCGTGGAACACTTCGACAACGAACCTGGGCACGACAAGGAGGAGAAGGGGTTCAAGTCGCATGACGTCGCCACCTTCTCCCCAGCAGAGGAGAAGAGACTCCTGCGCCGAATCGACTTGCGCGTGACGTGCGTGCTTGGATCGTTATACCTTATCGCTCAGATTGACAGAAACAATCTCGGGAACGCGAACATTGCCGGCATGTCCGTTGATCTGGACCTCACCGGCAGCAGGTATTCCATCGTCGTTTTGTTCATGTTCATCACCTATGTCTGCTTCCAACCCGTTGCCGTGGTGGTGATCCGCAAGGTCGGAGCACGAGTATTCTTCACGACGATTGTATTGTTTTGGGCGGCAACCGAAATCTCTCTCGGCTTGGTCAAGGATTGGTACGACATGATCCCCCTCCGTCTCATATTGGGCGCCTTCGAGGCCGGCATGTTTCCCTGCGCTGCGTACATGCTTTCGAGTTGGTATACGCGGTTTGAATTGCAGCAACGAATGGCACTGTTCTACCTTATCGGCACCGTCGCCTCGGCCTTTACGGGAATCCTGGCTTATGGAGTGTCCCAAATGGGCGGCCTGGGAAGTGGCCCGGAGTGGTGGGGCCACCGCTACGGCCCTACGAAAGAGAACCCAGACGCCCCGAGCGGCTTTGAGTCGGGCATCGCTGGTTGGCGATGGATCTTCATCATGTTCGGTATCTTTACGCTGGTGGTCGGCATCGTCTGCTTCTTTCTAATCGTGGAATTTCCCGAGAAAGAGCTTGAGCCCAAGAGATGGAAGGTCCCCTTCCTCTCCGAACGAGAGACTGAGCACGCCATATCGAGAATCCAAGACGATAGAGCCGACGCAGAAGCTGAGGATTTCACGGTGCGCAAGTACCTTCGAGGCGCCGCTGACCTCAAGGTCTGGGGACACGCGGCCGTTTTCGGCCTGACTACCGTCACTAACTATGCCGTCGTCTATTTCTTGCCCATCATCCTGCGCGAGGGTCTGGGCTTCGGGATTGCTGCGTCTCAATGCTTGACGGCTCCCCCTTATGTCCTCGGCTGCATCTGGATGCTGAGCCTTGGGTGGCTCTCTGACAAGGTCCGCCTGCGTTCACCCTTTATTGTATTCAATTGCTGCAGTTCCATTCTCGGTGAGTTTTCTTCCGCCAACGCCCCCAGCGATTGCACCACCGAACTTGTGCTGACCTCCGTATCCAGGACTCGGTCTCCTTGGCTACACACACGCGGTGGCAAGTCGCTTAGTGGGTGCCTTCCTCGTCACAGCGGCTGGATCGGCAAATATTCCTGCAGCGCTTGCCTGGCAAGCCAACAACGTCCGGGGACATTGGAAGCGTGCCCTGACCTCGGCCATGGCCGTTGGGGCCGGGGGCATCGGCGGCATCGTTGGTGGGACTGTCTTCCGAACAGAGGACGCCCCAACTTACCATCCAGGGATCATCGCAACCCTCGTCGCCAATTCCCTTATGATACTGGTATGCGCCCTGCTTAACATCAAGTTCTATCGGGCAAATAGGAGAGCAGAAGCTGGCGGAAAGCCGATCGAAGGGTTGGCATCATTCAGATACACTTATTAATCGAACGGACCAAACCGGGAGACAAGCTTCTCCTTCAGGAGATAGCAGTTGGTCTTTGAGAATGACGATCTGGACAGAGGGCGGTAGATAGCATCCGATGTCATGAGTTATCTGTGCGCGAAATGTAGCTTGTTTGCGGGTCCCCGGGTAGGGGGGGGGGGGAGATTTTTGGCTCAGACCTGGCGCCAAGTATTGCTCCTTCAGTATATGGGTAAGAAAGACAGCAATTGAGCAGAGACGACCAAGAAAAAGAGCCCTAGAGAATATGTCTTGCTTGCCCTTTTGCGGGTGTGGAACCAGCTAGTGGAGGGCTGGTCAAGCTGTGCAAGCATTCGCGAACACCGGAGCGCAGTGCCCAATTCAATCAGTTTGAAGCCCTACACCACTCCCACTCCTGGCTCTAGGGCTCAGATTAAGTCTGCCCGCGAGACCGCGTAATGGGTTCGGGATTCATCGTCCGTAACCGCATGGGGCCCGCTATAGAGACTTCGTACCGCCAGCCGAGTGCCGTGTCTCGGATTCTCTCTCTCGCTTCCTCCCATCGACCTCCCAATTTCAGTCTCTTCCCCAGACGTCCAGGCCGGGACGCGAGATGCCCTAGTGCCCTCTTTGCATCGACTTGACCCCCCAACGCCGTGTCGTTGGTAATTGCCACGCAATATGCAAACCAGCCAGAGAGCGCGCTTGCGAGCGCCGCGAGCATGCCAGCGCTGCAACCAGCGCAAGGTAAAGTGCGACGTGATCGAGACGGGACTCCCGTGCAGCCGCTGCCGCCTCGACGCCGCCCCGGAGTGTACGATCATGCCCTCTCGACGAGGCACATATGAGAGAAGAAAGGTGCGCAACCAGGCGACACTTCTACGGCCAGCATCGTCCTCCCCATTGCCGGCGGACCGTCAGACGGAAATGCAACGCTCAAGTTCTGGCGATGGACAAGTACAAAGCCCGAACATCTCGCGCGCAACGTCGGAGAAGACAAAGAGTCATGCTGCTCAATGGGAATCCACCGAGGTGGCTGGCCGTACTGACGCTCCCGGCTCCAACATGAGCGTGCCGAATGCTGACCAGAGTTCTCTTGCATCTATGTTTGAAGCCTTTCTCAACAAGCAGAATTCGTCTCCGGAGAGTACAGTTTCAAAGCTGGGGATTGTCTTCTTCAATGAAAATTCGCCTCTGACCTTCGCTCTGTCCGAACTTCAGGGGTCGCAGCGACCGACTACATACAACGCGGGCTCCCATCTCCATGAGGATCCTGTGATTCAGCGCAGCGATCTCCATCCACCTCACATGTCGCATCAGGAGACGGGCTTCCTCAAGTCGAGAGGCGCATTTGACACGCCCAGGCCTGAGGTGTCGGACATGCTTCTCGCCGCATTTCTCGACCGCTTCATCCCTCTCTATTCCATTGTGGACAAGTCGAGCTTTGTGAAATCTTACCGGGAGCAAAGTCTGCCTTGGATCCTCTTTCATGCAATGTGCTTCATCGGGGCCACATTCTGCGACACCAGTAGTCTACACAGGGCTGCATTTGAGAACAGAGTGGAAGCTCGCCGATCCTTTTATAACAAGGCCAAGATGCTTTTCGACTTGGGCTACGAGACTAATAAAGTCGTGCTCCTTCAAGCGGTCCTTATGCTCTCATTCTGGGGACCCCAGATGAAGAGCTATTGGAACCCGTGTTCCTGGATCGGCTTTGGAGTTACGATCGCCGAGTCGCTTGGTATACACCGGAGTGACTCCTCAACGAGTATGGTGCCCCAGGCTAAAGGCTTGCTCCGAAGATTGTGGTGGACGTTGGCGGTGCGAGACGCTTACTGCGCTGCGCTGCTGGGTCGACCTTTCCGGATCAACATGTCTCAGTGTAACACTGACATGCTCAACATGGCCGACTTCGACCACGAGTCCGACTTCTTGGCCACGGGAACGGAGAGCCTCATCCATTGCAACTATCAGATACAGCTAGCAAAATTGTCGCTTGTCCTGCGCAAGATCATCGAGTTACGCTTCGGTCCCAGCGAAAACTTGACCACGCTACAAGATCTGCAGGACATGTGCAACGAGTGGAAAGCAAGACTCCCTCCGGAAGTCGACTGGGAGTTTCCCATCACCGACTCGAACAGAATCTTTGCAACAAGCCTACGCATCATTTTCCATCACCACGTCATCTTCATTTACTTCAACATGCCGAGCGTCCCGGAGGGCCGAGAAAGCGTAGAAGCCGACGTCGACAGCGCGTTTTCCAGTCTTCCCCAATCGTCGGCGGAGGTTATCTCGTCCACAGCCGTCACACTGATGACGAACTCGATGCTCGGCCTCGTTCCACATGAGATTTTTCCGGGCTTCTTTATTGCGAGCATTGTCTTTTATAGAAGGGTGCGGAAATCGAACCATGTCCACGCTCAAATGGGCCGTGCTGCCTTGGACAACTGCACAATGGTGATGAATGCGGTGAGGGAACGCTGGGATCCAGCCTTCTGGGCGATCAAAATCTTTGACTTCCTCGTAACCGAGGCCGCCAACTCGACGACAGCTTCGTTGACGACCGCATGGAGTTCCCAAAATCTGCAATCTGGAGGTTGCGGTGCAGAGAACCCAAATAGTGAGGTCTTGCAGGACACAACAGAAACCCAAGCCAGCGGCTACGACACCCAAAAAGATATCCTCCATTCAATTGACTTTGGACTGTCGCGGTTCGAAGTGTTGAACGAGTTTTTGTTGATGCCGAGCTATTTCGGGGCCACTCCAAACGCCTGGTGAAAGCGACCACGACGACACATCTCCCAGTATGTTGTCCAAACCCAAACCGACAGTTGATGATCTCAGTAACCCGCAGCAAATGAGGAAAAAGCAGTTTGCGGCAGTTGGCTGACGGCTAACAGTGGCGACGGCTACGGCCCAATTACCGAGCAGACAACCAACTCCTCCGGCACGCAAGCTTTCGTCGTGGAGCTGCAACCGATCGCCAGGCCGAACACTCGGCAATGACTCTCAGGCTTGCGGCTATTTCGTCTCAAGCCCCTGCTCAGTGCGTTCTCGATAAAATTGGGGACCAACAGATATTGACCGCGTTGCCAAAACTGGCTGGAGCGACTATCAACCCCCGGACATGAGAAGGTCCTTATTGATTGGATACCTTGGTCTTGATTGAAACCGTGACCGCCGCCTTGTCATAGATTTCGACCAACAATGACCATCTTCCACAGCCCGTTTCCGCTGCTCAATCTGCCCGAAACAGACATTTTCTCTTTTCTCTTCGAAAGAAACGATAGGCCGTTTCCGAACGAACATGGTGAGTTTGCGACCCTTTACAAAGCGCAGGAGAAGCAATGGCCACTGATTTTCCATACTGCAGTCATCTTCAAGGATGCCGAAAATGAGAGACAATATTCCTACTCCCAAGTCAAGCAAACAGCCCTGTCTTTCGGCCGCGGGTTAAGGGATCGCTTCGAATGGCAGAAAGGCGACGTCCTCGTTCTCTTTGCCGCCAACAACGTCGACACTCCAGGGCTTATCCTGGGGACGCTTTGGACTGGTGGAGTGATTTCGCCCGCGAACCCAGGCTACACTGTCCGTGAGCTGGTGTACCAACTCCAAGACTGCGGAGCTCGAGCCGTGGCGACCCAGTTCTATTTGCTGGAGACGGTGAAAGAGGCATGCCGGCAGGTTGGAATATCGGAAGACTCTATCTTGCTCGTGGACGAACAGAAGGACCCTTCTGGACGCATTAAACACTACACTGAAATACAAAGTAAGAGCCTTGCGACTCGATACCAGAAAGCCACCATCGAGCCCAAGGCCGATCTTGCGTTTCTGGTCTACTCTTCTGGCACGACAGGAAAACCCAAGGGCGTGAGGCTCTCGCACTATAACCTCACCTCAAATGTCAGTCAGCTTCAACCAGGAGAGCAGTACAACCTCAGCTGGGACGGCTCAAGAACCAGCAGCGACATCCCACTACCAAGACCCGGGGCAGGAGGAGATAAGATTCTTGCCTGTCTTCCGTTCTTCCACATTTACGGCCTTACCACGACGGTTCTCAACCCTCTGTACACCGGCACCACCACAATAGTTCTTGCGCGGTTCGAGATCGAAAAGTGGTGCAGGCTGGTCCAGCACCATTCAATCACCTTCTCCTACATTGTCCCTCCGATTGTCCTCCTGTTGTGCAAACACCCGGCCGTTCCCTCCTACGATCTCTCCAGCATCCGCATGACCAACTCGGGAGCTGCTCCTTTGTCGAGAGAAATGGTCGAGACATGCTTTCAACGAACGGGAATCCGGGTCAAGCAAGGATATGGTCTGTCTGAGACCAGCCCCACCGCCTTCAACCAGCCATGGGACGACTGGAACGTGAGCGTTGGAAGCGTGGGCAAGGTCCTTTCCAATATGGAAGCCAAAATCTGTACTCCCGCCGACGAGAATGACCCGACGGATCGCTCCCACCGAGAGCTACCGGCGCTCCCACAAGGTACGGTGGGCGAGCTTCATGTCCGCGGACCGAATGTCTTCCTGGGCTACCACCACAACCCAGCCGCAACGGCCGAGTGCCTATCGCCCACCGGTTGGTTCCGTACAGGCGACGTCGGATACATGGACGCTCAGGGCAATCTCTTCCTCACAGACCGTGTTAAGGAGCTCATCAAGTACAAGGGGTTCCAAGTTGCCCCTGCTGAACTCGAAGGCTATCTCCTGGAGCATCCTCTGGTGGCCGACTGCGCTGTTGTTGGGGTTCAAAGTGCGCAGCTGGGAACCGAAGTGCCCAGAGCTTATATCGTGCCGGCAGGCGGTGCTGCTGGCGACAATGGATCGTCGTCCGACCTTGACCGAGCGAAGCTAATCATTGCCTGGCTCAACAGCAGGGTGGCCAACCACAAAAAGTTGAGAGGCGGAGTCAAGTTTGTCCAGCAGATCCCGAAGACCGCCAGTGGCAAGATTCTGCGCAGGATCCTCAAAGAGCAAGCAAAAGCTGAAGCAAGCAGCGAGGTCGGTGCGAGGGTGGCGCCGATCGGCCCAAGGTTGTAACAGAGCACAAACGAGAGCACATCGCAGTTAGCAAAGTGTATGTTGGATTGTCAAGATGCGCCGGGCACTGCTACGAGGATAGGCAGGAGGTGGTGAGGACGCCGCACCCCCCGAAAACTAACACCCTCGTCTATCAAATTCAGTGCTTCTCTTGTTTTCTCTCTCTGTCTCTCCATCCCGTCGGCCCTCCGTCCATGACTGTACTCGGGCGGGTTGGAATTTTGCTGACAACTGGGCTAAGCGTAGAGAGCGTATCCTGCCTCCGGTGCTGTCTGACAACCAGTCCTGATTCTGGTATCGTTACCGCTACACCTATGCCTCCTACCGAGGAACCCGAGGGCATTGACCGCTCACCAGTTCTCTAAGCCCCGTGGATCCACATTTCCCAGCGGCTTAATTGTCTGTGCCCAGTTCCATGTAACCGCGGGTTCCAAAGTCTGCACTGACTGGAGGACGGTAATTTTCGGCAGCTGGTCCAAGAGCTCCGTACGCTTCTTGTACGCTATCTATCTGCGGGCTCCGTGACACCGGCCCAGCGTCAGTATTGAAAGAAAGGCGTCTGTGGCTCTTCGCGACCAACACAAGCCATCGGGCCGCCCCCAGAGAAACCACTCGGGCGTTTAGTGTCTTTACTCTGTATGCTTGAGATCTAGGCCAACCCACCAAGAGTGACACTCTTGATGACCTGGTACTCGGCTAAGCCGTACTTGCTCCCTTCTTTCCCGTAGCCTGACTCTTTGACCCCTCCAAAAGGCGACCCGGCTTCTGAGATCTTGCCGGTATTTACACCAACCATGCCAACTTGCAGAGCTTCCGCAACCCGCCAGATGCGGCGGTGGTCATTGGAGAAGAAGTAGCTGGCCAACCCGAATTCGGTGTTATTCGCCAGTCTCACCACGTCTTCCTCCCGGTCAAAGACCACCACAGGGGCTATGGGGCCAAATATCTCTTCTCGAGCGATCATCATCTCGTCAGTGATGCCGGTCAGCAAGGTTGGTTCCACAAAATTGCCCGCGGCCAAAAGGCCTTTGGCAGCGGCGGTCTCGCTCGTTTCATTTCCACCCCCTTGGGCCACCACGGTTGCCCCCTTGAGGACGGCATCATTGATGAGCTCATGCATCTTGTCGACAGCAGCTTTGTTCACCAACGGGCCATTCGTCACGGATGGGTCGAATCCAGACCCCATCTTGAGATCGTGGCGGATTCGGTCGCTCAATTTGGAGATGAACGTGTCCGCCACCATCCGTTGCACAAAGACTCGGTTTGCGCAGATGCAGGTCTGGCCCGAGCATCGAAACTTACATCCCATCAAAGCATCGACAGCATCATCAAGATCTGCGTCTTCAAAAACGATGAATGAGGCGTTTCCTCCTAGTTCCATAGAAATTTTCTTCATAGTTTTTGCCGCCTTTTCCGCTATAGCCTTGCCGACCCCCGTCGATCCGGTAAAGCTGATCTTTTTCACCTTGGGATTGGTATATAGCTCCTCCACGGCGGCACGATTCCTCGTTGTTACCGTCTGAATGACGTTGACTGGGATCCCAGCTTCCCCCGCAAGTTTCGTTAATGCCAGTGCGCAAAGCGGTGTTTCGCTTGGAGGTTTGATAACCACGGTGCAGCCAGCAGCGATGGCGGGAGCGACCTTGCGCGTTATCATAGCCATGGGAAAGTTCCATGGGGCAATGATCCCACATACTCCAATAGGCTGCTTGAGCACAACGGCAGTGCTGTTAGGGAAGCAGGAGGGAATGATATCGCCGTACGAGCGAATGGCTTCCTCGGCAAACCAGGAGACCATGTTCGCACTCGACTCTACCTCTGCAGCAGCATCAGCCAGGGTTTTGCCGTTTTCCATCGTTAGCAGCTTGCTCAGGTCTCGCGAGTGCTTCCGAATTAGGGTCGCCCATTTACGCAGCATGGCTGCGCGCCCGTACTCCTTTGTTCTCGAAAAGGTTTCGAAGGCTTCATGGGCGTGGTCGATTGCTGCTCTGAAGTCGTCCATTTCCATATTTGCCACGTTGGCAATGACCTGGTTCGTAACTGGATCATAGACCGGGAAGGTGCCATTTCCGCTGACCCATTCACCGCCAATGAATGATCGCTCCTCTATCAAGTCGTGCACTTCGAGAGCATCTCTCAGGCATGTTGGATGCCGCTCGCCACCATGGGAGGGCTTCTCCATTTGCTCTTCTGGAGGTTGGACCCCTCTCTTGTTGCCAAAGTGACGGTATTCAAAGGGAAAGCTGCACTCTCAAACCGGCAGACAGTTTGCACGTCAATTTATCATTTGCGAAAGGTCAAACAGATGAGGGTTGGTCCGCACATTCAAGACTCAGGTATTTCTATTCACTTTACCATTCCTGAGTCGACTACCGAGTTTCCGTCATTACGTCTATCCACCATTCCGGAATGGTTCTGCTGAGGGGAGACGCGCAGCCGACTCAAATAAAGTCGGGAAGTGTCAAGCACCTGCCTCCACCAGCGATGTGAAGTGATGCCGGATGTTGCAGCAGACATAACGGCACAACCACTGAGGTCGGCGCTTCCCACTATACACCATTGTGGAGACAAACCGACGAATGGCTGAAGCGATTACTCAGACTATTCGGTAGGAGATCGGTAAAATTTTTGTATTTGCCGACCAGTATTGACCTTTCGGTAGCGCGGCAAAGGGGTGCGAATCGAGTAAATTTCCTGTGCTCGGTACTGAGATTCGGGGACTGGAGCAACATTGCGTGTATAGCTCGAGATGGCGTGTTTTCGGCCTTTGTGAGTTCTAGGCCCTGCTGATCGTCTCTGTATAAGGTCTCACCGTACAGCACAAAGAATAGGACGAACCAAAACGCTCTGCCGACTGCCTGACGATTCCCTCAGCGACCCAACTCTTTCTTGAAACATGTCAAACAAACCTGACTGGGTAAAGGCTTTGAAGCCGGCCGGTCCCCCTGGAACTGAAATTCTTGCAGCGGAAAGGAAATCGTCGCCCATTGATGTCGATGGACTCGCGGCCTTTTTGTTCACACAGCCAATCTTGGATCGTAATCACAGAATCCTCGAAATACTCCAGGCAGAACCCGTATTCGACAAGTCGTCGAATTACTTTCGGGGCCGCACTGAAAGAATTAAGGCCGCGCTTGCCCGTGGGAAGCGACTACAACAGTTGACGGAGCTTCATGGGTGGTCTGCTGAGGAATATCAAGTGGCATACGACTTGATCGGAGAGCCAACACCCTATGGCCTCCACGCCGGAATGTTTATGGTTACTCTGAGAGAGCAAGGGACCCCCGAGCAGCATCGGTTATTCCTTGAAAAGGCTCAAAAGTACGAAATGATCGGGTGTTATGCCCAGACAGAGTTGGGCCACGGGTCGAATGTACGAGGGCTCGAGACTACAGCAACCTGGAACCCGCACAGAAAGACCTTTACGCTCCACTCGCCATCGCTGACATCTTCGAAATGGTGGATTGGCTCTTTGGGCCGGACAGCAAATCATGCAGTTGTCATCGCGCAGTTGATCATCGACAAGGTCTCCTACGGACCTCATCCTTTCGTTGTTCAGATTCGAGATCTACAGACACATCAACCTCTAGACAACATATACGTTGGTGACATCGGGCCCAAATTCGGGTTCAATACCATGGACAACGGCTTTCTTTTATTAAACAATGTGGAGATTCCGCATGATAATATGCTGTCGCGTTTCTCCCGAGTTGATGCCTTGACAAACAAGTACATCCGTCCTTCCAATCCCTCACTCGTGTATGGAACTTTGACGTGGGTTCGCTCCAACATTGTCCTCAGATCCGGGGCAGTCCTTGCCCGGGGAGTGACTACAGCCGTCCGGTACTGTGCCGTCCGCAAGCAGTTTCGCAGACTTGATGCCGCGAGCAATGGCACCAGCGACACTACCGAAACGGCGGTCCTCAACTACTCGATGGTGCAATATCGATTGTTGCCGCTGCTGGCAGCAACATTTGCTCTGCACTTCACGGGTCAGAATATGATTCAATTATATCAAGCGAACCAAGCTGCCATGAACGGGCCCGACCGAAGTAAATCAAATGCCGACATCCTTCTCGCCGAGCTCCATGCATCCTCTTGTGCCTTGAAAGCTTACACGTCGACCGTAGCGGGCGAGGGCCTGGAAACGTGTCGCCGGGCATGTGGTGGCCACGGCTATTCTAGTTTCGCAGGCGTCGGCTCCTTGTATGCAGACTATCTACCAACCCTGACGTGGGAAGGTGACAACTTCATGCTGACACAGCAAGTCTCACGATATCTCCTGAAAATCGCTCGCCAAGTGGTGTCCGAGGTCGACGTGAACTCGTCGACCCATGCTGCACCAGGCAATCAGTTCAGTATCCACACGGCCACAATACTCGCCAATTACAGGACGAAACAATCCGACACAACAGTGGTACCCTTTGATGTATTGGGAGACGACACCAGCTGCCTCGTCGATGCCTTTGCGTGGAGGGTGGCCTACCAGACATTCGAAATTCTGAGACGCCATGACGATGAAGGCGCATCGTGGGACAGCCTCCTTGTTTCTTTCTGGCGGCTAAGCACGGCCTATTCGCAGTACTTGGTCGTCCGGAATTTCCACCAAGTGTTAAGCCATCCGACAGCGCAAATTTCGCCACCTCCCGCGTCGGACACGATGGCGGTGCTACACAGTCTATTCAGGCTGAATGCGCTCTATTGCCTGTCAAACGAATCCTCGGAATTTCTTACAAGCGGTGCCTGTACGGCGAAGGTGCTTCATATGCTTCGCGAAGAGCGATTGCTGCCGCTGTTGTCGGAAGTGCGACCACATGCAGTAAAACTGGTCGACGCTTGGAAGATTTCAGATTGGCAACTCGACAGTAGCCTGGGACGGGCAGATGGGAGAGTGTACGAAGATCTGTTTTATCGCGCCAGCGAGAATAACCCTCTGAACGACATCATATTTGACCCATCTCCAAACAGCACCACTCTCTTCAAGACAAGAAGCTCCCGAGGTCCCTCGAGCAAGCTTTAGAGAAGGGCCCTGCTAGCATCATATCGGAAAGCGCTGTTTCTCGCCATCCCGCGAGCGCTTCCAGGGCGAATTTTAGGATAGGCTGAGCCGCAGGGAATACAACGCGGCGAATAAGAGAGTGCTTTCTCTCCTAAGAACATTTTATCCTGACCCAGAGATAATTTTACACACCAGGCCGAGAGCTTGAAATTTATCTATAAGCCAGCACCCAGGTTACACGTAATAACAAATCAAACTTTCTAATGAGGCAATGCTGGTCTGTGTGCTGTAGTTTTACTAGAACCGCCTATTTACTACCTAGGTAAGGTATATATAGGTCACTCCCAAGGTCGTCTCTGGTACATGGGCTAATTCGTCATTTTTATAATGGCTAAATGTTAAGGACTGCCTGGCGAGTAGCTATCACATCTCGTAGAAATCTAATGGTAGCCAGTATAGCCCTCTATCTTGTGGTGTAATAAAGATATGACGCTCAAGGAGCGCAGGCTCCTTCGCAAACGAGACGAGGTCTTGGAACGGTTGGAGAAAGTGAGATGGCTAAGGATCTAATTCACGTGATACTCAATCACGTGGCTCTCAGGAAGTCCCTCGGCCAAGCTAGTGACGTTTAGCGGTCGCCTCCCTTTTGGTGCCTAAGCGTGCACGCGTGCCAGGGTGCCGGGCACTATATCAGTGGCGCAGACTGCGGCATCCCCATCCATGTTCTGTGGAGAAATGACCGCATTCACATCTGCTATACAAAGTCTCGGGACTGCTCCCTGCCTTGTCGTCGATGGTGGCAGACTTCTCCTCAACCGTGGACATACTCGATAACATCTCTCGCGATGAAGCCACGAGCATGACGCTGTCCAAGTATCCTCACGATAATCGTCCGAATGTGGGCGGCAGGCCTCCAGATTGACGTCTTCCGACCCCAAGACAAAGGCTCACACCATGCCCCCTTCCTCCGTTGCTTCCATCCCCACGGAGAAGGACAAGGATGCTCAGAAAGACCGGGATAGCCCTTCTGCATCCTCCATTTTCCTTCCCCTCGGAAGAAGAACTCGTCGAGATTCCAAGTCATCCCTGTCCCACGATCTCGACCAAGATGCCCTCAACCACGCGCTCAATACCATCCATACCGCGGCATCCCAGTCAAACCACTTGACGGTCTTTAATGACTACGCCGATCCCCCGACGGCCTCCTCTCAAGCGGAGAACAAGTCTTTGGCGAGCGAAATACAAGGAGGCATATCAGGCTTGTACAACAAATTGAAGGCTACCGTCGGTGGTTCCAAGGAGGGTGAAGAACATCATCAAGATGCGTCCTCTAACCCCTCGGTGGGGGATGATCGAACCAGCTCCAAGATCAGCTCCGGTATCACGTCCAAGGCACCTTCGCCCCGACTGACAGCCTCAGACACGACGCTTTCAATCGATCTGGCCCCATCGAAAGTCTCTTCGAAGGCCACAAGCATTTCGAAGCCCTCGATACCCTCTACGCCCGCTCTCCGCTCACCTACCGGTCCTCCCCAGCCTTCTTCCCACCTTGCTGACCCTTCGGTGACTTCAGTTAATATCCATGCTGTCGGCTCGGCGAATCATTCGAGGGCTGGGTCTGCGTTCGAACTCGATTCTCCTCACGAGCGGAGTCTAACAGCTTCTGCAGATAGCGAAAGTCTGCGCAAAGCTCTTTCCAAGCAAGGGACCGAGACGTCCTTCACCGAGAGGGGGAACAAGCTGATCACATCGCCTCTTCTGAGTGCCAGGGGAGTGGCTGTATCCCACGATCGAGGACTGTCAACTGCCTCCAATCAAAGTCACTATAGTCATGTTGATGGTGTGGCCAGCCCGCCATTGTTGACGTCGCCTCAGGCGGAGCGATCGGCTGCCCGAATAGTGATGGCGAATAGACAAGACAACCCTTCACAGTTGAGGCACACCAACCCTCTAGACCTCTTGGCTGAAAATGCAGTCAACTCCACCAAAGCCTCAGCCTCCTCTCAAGGCAAGCCTAGTGAAGTTTCTGGCTTGAAGTCACCCCTGCTATCGACGTTGGACCAAAGACCGTCAGAGAAACTGGCCCCAAAAATAAGCCAGTCAAGATTGCCAGGCTTCTATGCCTCGCGAACAACTTCATCAGACTCATCAGTCACAGCTGGCATGTTGCGTGCAAATCTGGATCCCCGTGACGATGACTCGCGCAGTATCGTCATACACCGCACCTCTCAAGCGAGACCGATCAGCAAGCTGCGTAGCAAGTTGTTGAGTAAAGAGTTCTGGATGCGAGATGAGAATGCAAAAGACTGCTTTCATTGTGGCGAGCAGTTCACTACATTCCGCCGGAAGCACCATTGTCGCACGTGCGGCCAGATCTTTGACAACAAGTGCACGGTTCTCATCAATGGGAGTCACTTTGGGTCCAATAGTGCCGTTCGTGTCTGCAAACCGTGCGAGTCCATCATCACTTCCCACGACGACGACTCGTCTGATTATTCGGCTGAAGATCTGGCTTTGACGGAACCGGCCCCTCGTCCACGGACCCCTGAACCCTCTCATTTTGCCCGCGTCCTGCCCCGGTTTGAGGATGACAATGCTTCAGTCACTTCGCAGTCTCTCGAGCAAATGGCCAGGACGCCCACAATGAGCTTTCCAGTACGACGAGCTTTCGATGGGGCCAACCGCAATTCCGCTGTGCTGGAGTTCGATACAACCGATCGACCCCTCCCTCGACCAAGCTCCTCTAGGTCCTTGAAAGCAACTCATTCTATTGGGCATAGCCACAAGAGGCATCACTCCAGACATCAGCACATACGCAATTTCAAGGCTTACCATGAAGATAGAGCACCTTTCCAACGTCGTGCTGCCGACGACGGAATCAAAGTTGGCAAGTCTTCAGCGTTTCATCGCGACAGCATCATTGACCCTGATCTCGCACAATATCTCTCGGATGACCCCTCGAGTGAGGAAGACCAGTCCATCAGTGAAACCTTGAGTCAAGATAAATTGTCCCGTAGCGAACCTGATAGCGACAAAAGCGCGATAGGGGGTCTTTTGGCAGCCGTGCGCAAGGGTCGTTCTCGCCTAGGGGATCGGAGTATCGCTGGATTTCTCAACATAGGAAAAGAAGCCGACGAAGCCAGTGTCATCAGTTCGCGCAATATAGAAGCACTTCGGGGTTCTCGGAAGCGGAACCTCAGTGTTTCGAGTAGTATCCATCGCGGAACACCAAGAACAACGAGAGAGCGACTGCAGATTATTATCCCCGGAAACCAAGACGATCTGCAAGACGGTCTCGGAGACTCAGCAAGTATCTACCGGGGCCGATCAAGGATGATACGAAGTGCATCTATGCATGGGATGGCTGCACCAGCCATGGAGCTCAATCGTGCGAGTATCCAACATGTGCATAAAATGCTTCAGCAGCTTCTCAGGGACGCGAATATACCGAAAGTCCAGAGTTGGCAGGATGCCCTCATTCCTATCTTGCTCAAAGCGACTGATGATGTCGACCCAGATGTCCAGGGTGGAGACGACATAGACATTCGTAACTATGTCAAGTTGAAGAAGATTCCTGGGGGCAAACCTGGTGACACTGCATACATCTCCGGCTTGATCTTCACAAAGAACGTGGCTTTGAAGTCCATGGCTCGATCCCACACGAACCCCAAGATCTTGATCATCACTTTTGCGCTTGAATATGCCAGACACGAACAACATTTCATGAGTCTGGATCCGGTCATCAGACAAGAAAAGGAGTATCTGGCCAATCTTGTTGGTCGTATTGCCGCCCTGAAGCCAGACGTTCTGTTGGCTCAGCGCAACATCTCTGGCCTCGCTCTTGAGCTCCTTGAAAAGGCAAATATCACCACCATTTTCAATGTGAAGTCATCGGTTCTTGAAGCTGTCTCGCGGTGCACTCAAGCTCGTGTCGTACATTCCATGGACAAATTGACGTCCTTGTCAGATCCATTTGGTCGATGCGATTCTTTTGAGGTGAAGACTTTCGTGGCTGACGGGCGAAGGAAAACGTACGTCTATCTATCTGGTTGCCCGCCTCAGCTTGGGTGCACGATCGCACTCAGAGGCGCTGACCGACCGACCTTGTCCAAGATCAAACGCGTCACTGAATTCATGGTCTACGTGGTCTATAATCTGAAATTAGAGACCTGCCTGATGAGGGATGAATTTGCATTGATACCGAGCGCGCCGACTGCCAATACATCGGAAACTACGGTCAATACCCTCCCGAAGTCTGCAGCAGCTGAGGATACTGCAACTTCGCAAGATGCTAATGGGAACACGGAAAAAGCTGACAGTAATGTCGCTGCGGCCGGGGATGTCTCGAATGCAGAAGTCATGACTTTGGAAAAGGAAGTCCGTTTTGCTCAAGCTGTCAGGACGGACAGCACCGATTCTGCGCACATACCAGATGACATTCCTGTGCCTACGTTTTATGAAGACCTGGTCCTCAAGCACGAAACCCGTATCCTTTCGGCCTCGCCATTTGTCAAATTCATGCAGCCATATCTTCTTATGCGTGCAAGAGAGTTGGAAAGACGTGTGGCGTATCTTAAGCGGCTCCGAGACCAGGATCTCTCGGCTGAACAGACGATGGAAGACAAGGGAAAGACGTCCAAGTTCACTTTGATTCACCCGGAAATGGTGCACAGGCCTCTGGCTGGGGCCAGCAAGAAAGTTCGCGAGATCATTCATGCAGTACACGACGCTGAGTATGACAAGGCTGTCTACAATTATGAAAGTCAGAAAAAACAGTGGGAGACCTATCTCTCGGGGAACCGCAATCTTTTTGACCCCTTTGCGCACCAGAACATTGTCGTTTTATTCAGTCTCGTTTCCACCGAGACATCTGTTCCTTGCTCTGGCCCGGATCTTCTCGCCTTTAGTTTCTACAACGAACATGAGACCGAAGCCGAGTTCGAGGCGGATTGTACTCTGGGGCAATACGTTGAGGATCTATGTTACAGGGCAAACGACATCTGCCCATCCGACGCCTGTGAAAAGAAAATGCATGAGCATCATCGGCAGTATGTCCATGGCGAAGCACAGATCACAGTCTTTGTACAGCCATATCCTTCCAAGATGCGCGGCTTTCAGGATGTGATTTTGATGTGGAGTCAGTGCAAGATCTGCGGTGTCGAGACCACTGTTACTCCCATGTCTACCAGCACTTGGAAATATTCGTTTGGAAAATATCTTGAACTGTCGTTCTGGAGTGCCGATCTCCATGCTCGGGCCGGCATCTGTCCACATGACTTGCACAGAGACCATTTCCGATTCTTTGGGTACAAGGATTTTGCTCTTCGGGTTCATTACGATCCAATCGACCTGCTCGAGATTATTGTGCCTAGAATGAGGCTCACTTGGAAAATCGACAACGACTTGAAGTTCCGTAATGATTTCTATACACGCTTGGAACATCGCATCACGAAGTTTATGGTGTCTGTCAAACTTCGTTTAAAGAATATTAATGCCGAGGCGGTCTTGCCTGAAACTGCCGAAGCATGTCGCGCAGAGATTGAACGACTGACAAAGAAAGCCAATGAGGAACACGCAGGCCTCATCAAACAGCTTCAGGAACGATATACCAACACGAGATACTGGGAAACGATCCCACTTAACGCTGTTCTGCGGGCCACGCAAGAAAAAGTGTCCGAATGGGATGATGCCTTTGCAGACTTTGAGAGAAATTTCTTCCCTTCCGAAACAGATATTCACCGACTGGCAACTCTCCAACTTAAGAAGATCTTCCTTGACCGCGATGTCTCCGTCGCATCCTTGAAGTCAGATGATGAAGGGGCGACCACGCCTTCAACCGAAGAAGTGACTGATGAGAAAGGGGGAGCTGGAGAGACGCTCACCGAGGGCCGACGGCCCAGCAAACTTTCGCCAGAGAAAACACAGAGCTTCCTTCAAAGCGTACTTGAGGAGCATGCCACTACTCCGGCAGACGAGATTGGGGTTTCCGAAGTGCCTGAGATTACCAAATCCGACGTACAGAGTCTGCCTTCCATTTTAGACGGTCCTCGCAATGTTGAAGATGTTAAGCACCTCGATCTGGCGATAGTGTCGCCAGCCCAGCAAGCGATCCTTGGGGCAGAAGATGGTGCCACACAGAATTCGTTGGTCGCTCCCGCTGAACATATGGGCATCGATGAATCACGTGAAAATGTGGCAAGCGGCATCTCGAATACAGGAGAAACATCCATAGAAACGCCAGAGATTATTGTCACCGGTCAACAGACTCAGCCAATAGATTTACCTCAGCCCGGAATACAGAATGCCTCTCCAACGATGGTGTTGCGAAGGCGGATCGATGGGAAGTCCTCGCCAGGACTTGCTCGAGCCCACTCGCAACCTGCTGGCTCCGTTGCACTTCGCGCGGCCACTGTCCAGACGGCTTCAAGTACTTTGTCGGCCGTCAACGCGATCAATGGATTTCCGAAACAAAGCCCGGCATTGTCCGCACAGAGCAGTGATGTTGATGTGATCATTCCCGATAAAAAGCTCTCTGAACGACTGGGCTTTTCACATCTGAAGAACAAGACATTTTCGAAAGGCCAGTCGCTCATTCCGCGAGCGGTTACGAACCGTAAAGAGTCCAGAGTCTCCAACCTTGCGAAACACTTCGAGCAACTCAGCCGCGAGTTTGAGAGAGAGCGGATCCGGGAGAGACGACTTCGCGCTGCAAGAAATATGCAGTCTAGAGTGTACCCCTTGGCAGCGTCAAAACCCATTGTCGAGGTATTCAAGGATGTCGACGTGGCTGTGGACGAACGAGGAGATTCCGACGATATTTTTGGCAAGGATGATGAACCTCCTGTGGAGGGGACGGACAAGGCCTCGGGCACAGCCGAGGCCATGGCAAAGGTTGGCTCGCCTCAGGAAGGCGACACTGGACTTCATGTCGAAGAGCCGGCCGGCGACACGGCAGAGAACGAGACTGACGTTCAGCCATCAAGTCATGCTCCTTCAGAAGCCGAGGAACCGAGCGACATTGATGAAGCAGAGGACGAGATCTTCTTACCAGACTCGCCCGAGGATCTAATGCGGATGTCCCAAGATGATATCGATCTCAAGGAGCTTCCCAAACATGAGAGAACCTCGCTGATGAAGATGCTGACCAACTTCTGGGCTGAGCGGTCATCGAGCGGTTGGACCACCCTCGAATATCCCTTGGGAACATCAGAGCACATTTTCGCTGATTGCGACATTATTGTGCGCGAAGATGAGCCCAGCTCCATCATCGCTTTTGCCTTGGACTCGCATGACTACACGACGATGCTCCAGAACATGCAGAATCGCGCCCCAAGCGAGGAGATGGCCCATGATTTTAGTGGTCATGACCATGGTGATGATATGCAGTCCGAAGTCATGCATTCGCTCCTGCGCAAAACAGGAACTCATCTCAAATACCAATTCCAGGAGGGTCCCGCCAAGATGCTCTGTAAGATCTTCTTTGCGGAGCAGTTCGATGCAGTGCGCCGGAAATGCGGTGTTGCTGACCGATTTGTCGAATCGCTCTCGAGATGCCTGAAATGGGATTCCAAGGGTGGCAAGACGAGGTCGCTCTTTTTGAAAACCCTCGATGACCGATTCATCTTGAAGTCACTGTCCCCTATCGAGACACAGTCGTTCCTCAAGTTTGCACCTAACTATTTCCAGATTATGTCAGAGGCCTTCTTCCACGAGTTGCCCTCTGTCATTGCAAAGATGTTTGGCTTCTACCAGATCATTGTCAAAAATTCCGCCACCGGGCTTGAATACAATTGGTTCTTACTGGTGATGGAGAACTTGTTCTACGACCGCGTCCCTACACGTATTTTCGACTTGAAGGGAAGTATGCGGAACCGGAAGATGAACGCCACGGGCGAGAAGGGCGAAGTTTTGCTAGACGAGAATATGGTTGAATTCATATATGAGTCACCCCTCTTTGCTCGAGAACATAGCAAGAAACTGTTGAGGTCGTCGGTGCACAACGACACCTTATTCTTGGCACGCCAAAACGTCATGGACTATTCGCTCATGGTCGCCATTGACGAGAATCGGAAAGAGCTTGTGGTGGGTATCATCGACTGCATCCGCACGTATACATGGGACAAGAAACTTGAAAGTTGGATCAAGGATCGTGGCCTTGTCCCGGTACGGGGTGGGAACAAGAACAGGCCGACAGTGACGTCTCCCCGGGAATATAAGAGGAGATTTCGAGAGGCAATGAATCGGTACGTCCTTGAGGCACCCGATTGTTGGCATCAGTTCAAGCCGGTGAGGATGGAGCGGAGGCTGTTGGAAGGGAGAGGTGAAAAGGATATTGGTGGACCGGACGGAAGGGATCAGGACGGGGAGAAAGAGAACGAGGTCCAGCTATTCTCTTAGCGGGTATTGGGTTAGAACAAAACAAGTCCCAGGTTTTTGTCAGTGATGATGACGCCTGGCATGGGCAAGGCTGAGTCTGGCATATATAAATACAACGGGGAGCGGGAGTTATGATCAGTATTAGCGACAGGCGCCGGTGTTTGTCTTGGATAGTGCGGCCACGATGTGATGATGCTGCCAGTGCATGACACGAGCGAATAGATTGTCTGTCAGACGGTATCAACCTCTTTATATATGTGGTCAGCATAAATTTGTGACCAAGGTCGAACATGAGAGAAATAGAGTCTGCCCACTAATTAACTCACTTACTAAGCACATCGAAATATCCTGGCCACCGGTGCTGGCCGTTGGTCAAAGGTCATAAATGGGTTCAGGGAAGGTCCTCGATAGGCTGAGGGTAGGTTGGGACTAGGGTATGTTTATCTTATGGTCTTGGTCATGGTCAAGGGCATAGTCACGGGCATAGTCAAGGGCACGAGCGACTTCGCCGGTAGCGTTGACCTTGTCGTTGTTGTCACTACAGTTGTCAATGTTGCTGATGTCGATGCCAATGTCGATGCAGACGTTCGATGTGAACATCATCACGCCCTTTCCAACCTGTCCAACCAGTACTTCGTGTGACGGTCACGCTGAGCCCATCGTGTAGAGGCACAGCGTCGACCGGACTCTCAAGTCCCCTGACGATAGATAGATCGATCGACCGATCTGCCACGGGCCACGCCATGGCTGTCAAGAACATGCTCCAGACGGGCCATTTGCTGAACGCCTTCACCCGGAAATGGGGTAATGGGATTATCTTGTTACTTCCCCCCGGCTTCGACAAGTTGTCAGTTTCCATATTCTATCTATTATTGTTCTACTATATCCGTGCGACTAACAACACATAGAGGTTGCATAATGGCGGCATTACACGAGTCAATGCCATCGCCAAAGTCTTGCACGACACCTTGGACGATGAACCATTAGGAACGATCTGTCAATTACTCGAAACCAAGATCCTCACTCCCGTCCTGCAAGGTACACGTATCCACCTTGAACTGACTTCGGCACCCGGGGTCCCTTTCCAACAAACGCGTCTCGAGACCGCTGGCGTGATCCGCGGACACAAAAAAAACACAGGACAAACCCTACCTGTCTCCCTCTTCTTCTCCTTCTGGTGGTCACCCACTCGCAGCCTCCACCGGCATGCACGCACGAAGTCCGTTGAGCCACGCCATGGCGTAGTATGTGTCCATGCCGCCCGCCCACGCCCGCCGTCCTCACAGCCCATGTACCCAGGGTCCACCCATGGGGTATATCGTCCATGTCCATGTCGATGCAGCGGGCGTGCGCCCAGACTCTCCTCACGGGCCGGTCATCTAGGAGAGCCAGCCAGGTCGATGTGGTTGCCGCGCCATCGGTCAGCGCCGATCGGCGTGTGTACTTGAGGCAGAGCTAGCAGAGGGCGGTGGGAGCGCCGAAACCAGCGCCGGAGCTGCTGGAGCATGAGGATGCGCCGGTCTGATATGTCAAAGCCGCGTGACGCAGGCGAGGCGTTTGCAGGCGGGGCCCAGCACGATCCGAGACGGCTTGTCGAGGTGCTTCATGATCTTGAGTTGTTACTTCAGGTGGAAGGGTCAACAGGGTCAGATTGGGCGACTTGCTGGTCCTCGCATTTTGGCGTCTGATTTTGACGCTTGTGGCGATCTCGGCCGCTGGACAGAATCTAAAGCACCCATGTCAGCTGAATGAGCCACGCTGGAAAGGCAGGCTGAGATTCAGTACTCAAGCGAGATGGGACAGAAAACTTGACATGGAGACGAATGACTCTGCGCACAGTGGACAGGTCGGGTAGCATTAATGTGGCACGAGGGACTAGCGACACCCCCACGAATAGAGATAGGGACTCTTGCCATCTTAATGTGAAGAGATGTTGTAGACGGTGACAAGGTTCAAGACAACAATGATGACGCTTGACGAGGACCTGCTCGTGGTTGATGAATGCAAAGAGTCAAGGAGCGCAGAGACAAGGAGGATGGCAGTGGGCTCAAATTACAGAAGTCGGATGGTAACCTTGGATTCTGCAAGCATATATTTGTTTTTGGTGCCTACAGTGAAGTGAATTGCTCTCAGGGCAGCAGGTCATCTTCCAGACCATGGAAACCCAACCACATTTTTCTGCCGTAACCTCATCAACAAGAACCAAACTCCTATCACCGAGCTGACCATGCCCGTTCCTGTCGCAGCAAGCAGAAGAGTGGTGAGTATTCGGCTCTGCCTTTGTGATTTCTTGATAACGTCGCTGTACCTCATGTTGCTGAAGCTGACCCGTGAGTACTGGGTTGCCCAACCCAAACTTGGGAGGTACTTGTCCAGTCGCTCCTCGATGTACTTGCGCAGCTTGTACACGGGAGAGGTGACGGAAGATCGCATCTCGATGTAGTTTGCCAACGCCAGGTCTGCAATGACATGCGCATCCTCGGTCCGCTCAGCACTATAATTCATGAGGGCTTCCGCTCTGTCGGGAGTCTCGTCAAGCTTGGAGAACAAGACGCGAACTGATTCCAATCCTGCATTCATTCCCTGACCATAGAACGGGACCATCGCATTGGCAGCATCACCAAGGACGACGACACTGTCCGCGAAATGATGCGGTGAGCATTTGATGTTGATCAACGGGAGGTGTGGATTGCGCTTAAACTGGGCCACCAGGTCTTCCGGCGGGATATATGTCGTCAGTCCCGGGAAATACTGGTCAAAGGTCGAGATGAGCTCCGCATCCGTTCCATTCTCGAGCTTGGTGAACAGTTCAACAGGACCAAACAGCGTGCACACAAAGGTATGGTCGAGGTTGGGAAGGGCGATGAACATGAACCGGCCCGCAGGCCAAATATGCAGGTAAGTGGGAGGCATGGCGAAGCCTCCCTCCTTGGTAGGGGGCATAGTGAACTCACACCACAAGCAGTCAATATATGTTTGATGATAGTCCATGCGGGCAAACTTCATCATATGATGTCGAGTGGCTGAATGAGCACCATCAGCCCCGATGCATATGTCAAAAGACACCTCGATCTCCTGGGCACGGGTTGACAATGTGGTCCCCTTCTTGTCCGTCACTTCGAACCAAGCTTTCTTCTTTCGGAAATCTGCACCTGTCAATTTGTGCTGGAAGAAGAGCTTGACATTTGGAAGCGAGTCCAGGTGGTCGAGAAGGACCTTGTTGAGCTCACCACGATCCACCGAGCGTTGAAATCGACCATGAACATCATATGCTTGAGATTGTTGAAGTAAAGCGCCGCCGGAGGCGCGGACATGGATCATTCGCCCATGCATGGGAATTGTTCGACTCAGTATCTTGTCAAGCAGCTCAGGATTACCTGTCGACCGAATGGCGTTGATTCCCCGCTCGGATAAGGCAAGATTAATGGATTTTGTGAAATTCAGAGGTGTGGTATCCACATTGCGGAGGTCTGGAAAAGACAGCATCGGTCAGTTTCAAGACGCAGGCCATGAAATGTCTGAAGATGAGGGAAGAGCCAGAGAGCGACCAAGAGGACAATGAATCAGGTCATGGAAATCTGCCATCTCACGACATGAAAGAGAAGGAGGAAGTGAGTTCAATCAATCTCAGAGGGAGACAATACCGTCACGCAGTTCGTATACCTCCACCTCTGCCCCCCGAGACGAGGCATAGAGCGCTGCTAGTGACCCAACAGGGCCTGCACCCACCACTACCACCTTCTTCCCCTCCATGCTCCTCTCAATCTGCACCAGAGCAACAACGCAAGACGAGAAGAAGAGATATAAGCAGCAAATGCGACCAAAGAGGACAGCCTCTAGACAACGAAAGTGCTCAAAGTGATGATAGAAGTCGTGAATGGATACACGACCAGAAAATGTTCACGTCATGTTACCAATTCACGGCGTTAAGCATTAGTGGCCAAGGCGGCTCGAGTGGCATTTTAATTCGGTTCAACCTCGGCTATAACTCGATACGGAAGCTTATCCGAGACAATCAGGCTTTGGTGCTTGGCAAGGCTGAAGAGCTTCAGGAGCGCTAGGACTCACTGCCTGTACAGTATCAAAAGGCCTAGAACGACCTCTTTGAGAACTTAAACTGAGACAGGCGGATAGATGATATCGAAAATTGTAAGTTTCTTTCTTTCGTGATATAGTAAGAGCAAGCACGATGTATTGGGACCTAAGCAACAAGGGTTGTTGGCCCTGCCAAATTTTTGCCGTTTCCCAAACCTAACAGTCAGATAAATCCCATGTCTCTTATGCCCCGTTTCTTTGTATGCGTCTGGTCCAACTCAAACAGGTCGATTTCAATCCAGTCGTTCAATCCCGATTGTTCATACATTCATCTCATCGTTCATGGTATTGTTAGGAGATATTGGCCGGATGTAGCGAGCTCATGACATCTCGCGACTCTGTGTCGGAGGGAATGATACCATAGTTGTCCATATCGGGAGCAATGCTACCCTCGATTCGTCGTCTGGCTTCCTGTCTTTCCTCATTTGTGATGCTGCTCTCATCCTTCTTCATATCCGGCTTGTACGGCTCAACATTCGGTGAGTGTCCGATGGACATACCGGCACGGAGCTGCGCAGTCAACAGTTAGTACCACATATGTAGATTGGAAGCCGAATCGAAGAACATACCAATGTCTCCAAAGCTCCAAGGCTGTTGTCGACGAGATCTCTGTCGTATACCATTTTTCCCGGTTCAAAGAAAAGGAGAATTGTGCTGCCGCCAAATTTGAAGTATCCAAGCTCTTCAGCTCGCTTGACTCGTTCTCCCGGCTTTCGAGTGATGACCGTTGACCCAACCATCATTGCTCCAATACAGACGTACATGACTCTGCCATGCGCAACAGAGTCAATAGGCACTAAAACTCTAACGTTCTCGCCATAGACGTCTAACGCCGATCTGATGGCCATGGGATTGACCGTATAGTATTCACCCTCGATGGCTTTTGGAGTTCCCAAAACACCGTCAACCGGGATATGGAAGCGATGATAATCTTGAGGAGCAAGTCTGAAGATGCCCATACTTCCGCCTTTGTATCGTTTCGCTTCTAATGGATACGCCTCGCCAAATAGTTTCTCAAGTGAGTAATCTCGGCCTTTGACCCAGATTCGTGTCGCGTCATCAATCGTGTTGAACACAACGGAGCGACAGTCTGCTGGGGAGACGATGATTTCAGGTCGATCCGGCGCACTGCATGGCCGAGCGTTGGGTTTCAATGCTCGATAGAAGAACTCATTGAAATTCTTGAACTCAGAAGTGGGCAGTAGCACTTCAGACATGTCGAGTTGGTGGAAGGCAATAAATCCAGGAATTTGGGCGACCGAGGCCGGATCGTCAAACTTCTTTCCCTGTTTGATTGATAACGATCGGAGCATCTTTTTGATTCGTTTCTTCTCCATCTCGCCAGCGCCCAAACCTTTATAGAGCAAGCGGATGCCAATGCGGACGTACACAGACATTCGTTCTTCGTTGATCTGCCCTGTAATCCGGTCCTGAACAAGAATATTTGCGCTGTTAGCGCCTAACTTGTAACCCCCGTAGCTGATCTTGGTGATGACTTTGGAGTACCACTTTCGCTGGGCTTGGCTTTGGGTGACAAAACCACCCATCACCAAGTTATTGACCTGCCTCCAGTCCGAGCTGGCACAAGTGGCAATGTGCGTGATGATGTCGGCTTCGGTGCGCTTGTTCAACTTCGGCTGGTGGCATATTGGACACTCCCGGATCTCGATGACATGCTCTTCATCACCCTCGTCCGCAAGGTCATTGCCCAGAAGTTTCCCCTCTTCACCCGCCGCCCCTGTTGGTTCTTGTGTGATGCTGGGTACTTCATCGTTATTGCCAATCTTGGCAGGAATGATGTCTTTTGCTGTCGAAAATATTTCGGCGGTCTTAATTCTCTCGAGCTGCGACTTCTTTTCACTGCTCTTCTGTAGCTGTTCCTCCAGACACATGACGGCCTGGTCAAAGGTCAAGTCCACTTCCCCAACATCTTCATTCTCGGCGGCGAACCGTTTGAAGAAGCCGTCAATAGTTGATTCTTTAAGAGTCGATCCCAGCGTGTCAAGCATCGTGGTAAACTCGATCTTACTGATTCGCTTACTGTCGTCCGCATCATACTGCTTCAACATCGCCCTCCAGAACTGTTGCCGCAGCGCCTTATAAGACAGATATCTTCCTCGGATGTGAAGCTCAGGACTGTGTTTGTCTTCCCATCGTTCCTTGTTTTTGAGCTCCAATGGGATGACATATGGGATCATGGTCGGGTCTTCAGCGGGCTGGGCTAGCGGCGTTTCAGTTCCGCCAGGCAATTTCAGATTATTTCCGTTGTTTTCAGAAGGCACACTGGTAGGCGGCGAGACCCGAGCGGTATCGTCACTACTGCCGCTGTTATTTGTGCTGGACAGCGAAATTTGGGAGTCGTCCTTTTTCAACCCAGGCCTCGCCATTTTGGTTAGACTATTGGCCGATGTGGTTCGTGACAAGGGAATACGAAATCTGCCCTTTTGCTGCATTGCCGGCGAATACTCCGGTGGCTCGGGAAGATCATAAAGGCCAGTGTCTGGATCCTCCTGAGGGGCAGCCTGGATCATTTTCTGGAGAGGGAATGAGGTCGAAGCCACAAAGTCGTTGCCTGACAAGCTGTCTCGATCGATCACAGAGAATGTAAAGGAGTAGCCAACCTCATGGCGTTTGATCTGGAACACCATCTTCTCATTATATACCGGGTTCAGATTGTGCCGAACCACCTTTGTCCGTAAGACCTTGCGACCCAATGCAGTAACAACGAAGGGGTCCATATCGAAAGAGGTCCGCGTCATGTTTCTTTCAGGTGGTAAATCGTTGATCTTGACAATCTCCAAGAAAATAATGCCATTGACATCATTGTCTTCCGAAAGGAAGTTGTAAGCTCTTGCTGCAATCGATCGGCGACGAAGACGTGCGAGTCTTCTCTTCTTTGCTTTCTTGTCAGCAGTTTCTGGTTTCTGTGTAGACTCGGTCTCTGTAACAGATTCCTCCTGATCCTCGTCAAGATCGTCAAAATCTTCGTCTCCTGCAAGGTCATCAAGATTGGAGGAGACACGGGATAGTTCGTCGTCCTCCTCTTCTGCTCCCAAATAGGCTTGGAACTTTTTCCGGATCTCGTCTGGGCTTGCGGATGGATTCGCGGAATCGACAAGAGAGAACTGCATGTACACTTCTCCCGAGACGTTACTCTGTTTCTTCCCTGAAGGTCTCCGCGAGTTCAACCTGTACCACTTTGGCTGGGTCTGTATCTGTCCATTTGGGAAGATATCTTCGATTGGGATGTCAAACTCGCCCATATAGTCTTTGCCAAAGCGGTCTTTGTCCCAGCACATGCATTCAAGTAGGGGAACGCCGGTTAAAGGCATATCGAAGCAAATCTTCCATTCAGGATTGAGAGTTTTTGCAATGGAGGGTGTGGACTGTTTCGCACTGCCGAGGGTGACCACAAGATACTACGACTGTCAAAGGATATTCTGGCTTGTAGGGAAGAGGGTAGTAACGTACGGGATCGGAGGTGCCAGACCGGTCTTTTGGTGCTAGGTTTCTGGCCTGAGGAAGGGTGAGCGACAGCCAATATCGGTTCTGGCACGAGGGCAGATACCTTTATAACATATACTTTGAGGATGAGCGGTTTTTGATCGACCAGGGCAACAGTGCTGTTGTTGTTGCTCGGAAGTCCTGGAGGACTGGGCCGTCTGCTTCCACCTCCATTGGGCGCAGAGCCACTGGCACTTTGATCTTTGTCTTTGTGTTTCGATCCTCCCAGATGGCTAAGGCCTCTAGGGAGTGATATGTGTACCATGTTGATTGTACTGAAGGGCGCAGAAATCGTGGGAAAGTCTCGATGATACCGAACCTGTTATGGCCATACACAGGAGTTGTGCTATCAAGCGGAGGGACTGAGGCTGAAACAGGTCGATGGAAGCTGAAAGAGAAGGATTGAGGGGGTTTGGGGCGGCCTCAAGTTGGAGGAATTAAACGAGGGGTGGATGAAGACAGCAGCGGGCAGATAGAGGCCTGCTAAGACCAAGAAATCGATGTGCGAGCTGTCAGGAAACTGACGAGGTGAAACCAGGTTTGGATAGTTGACAAAGGTGACTTGTGTCTGGCGCAGGTTGTGTCGGTCTGATCAAGTTGGTGGCATGCGCCAGCTGCGGTCTTGGTTATGATGCCATAAGTTTTTCTCACAGCGTAAGGTGCGAGGGGCAGCCCTTCCAACGCTATCTCTGGGCCTTGGGGCGCAGGGAAACTCAGGGTCCTTTCTGCAACTC